CGGCCTCAAGCTGTGCCAGGGGAGGGTCAGGTTGGACATCAGGGGGAATTTCTTCCTAGAAAGGGCTGTCAGGCATTGGAAGGGGCTGCCCAGGGAGGTTTGGAGTCCCCATCCCTGGAGGTGTCCCAGGAAGGACTGGACATGGCACTCAGTGCTCTGGGTGGGGGACAAGGTGGGCATCGAGCACAGGGTGGGCTGGGTCATCTTGGAGGTCTTTTCCAGCCTTCTATGATTCTTTGATCCATGAAACAGCACCTATACACCCAAGTACATCCATGGAACTCGTGTCCATCCATGGAACTCATGTCCATCCATGGAACTCGTGTCCATCCATGGAACTCATGTCCATCCATGGAACTCGTGTCCATCCATGAACTCAGGTCCATCCATGAACTCATGTACTCCATGGGACTCAGGTCCATCCATGGAACTTGTGTCCATCCATGGAATTCTTCATGTCCATCCATGGAACTCGTGTCCATCCATGAACTCATGTACATCCATGGAACTCGTGTCTATCCATGGAACTTGTGTCCATCCACAGAACTCAGGTCTATCCATGGAACTCTGGTCCATCCATGAACTCATGTACTCCATGGAACTCAGGTCCATCCATGGAACTCGTGTCCACCCATGGAACTCAGGTCCATCCATGGAACTCAGGTCCATCCATGGAACTCGTGTCCATCCATGGAACTCAGGTCCATCCACGGAACTCATGTCCATCCATGGAACTTGTGTCCATTCATGGAACTCATGTCCATCCGTGCAACAGCCTCACCCCCAGTGCAGGTCCCCATGAGGGGTTCCTGTGCTGCTCCTGCAGACACAGCCCTGAGGAGGCTCCAGGCTGACAGGGCCCTGCACGTCCCTGTCACACAGGGTGTGACAACAGAGCCACTTTCAGCTGGTGGATTGATGGCATCAGGTTCCAAGAGTAAAACCATGGAGTTCTTCCCAACCACAAACCACGGGCGTTGTGTTTGATGGGAAATGCCACTCTGCTGCTTGGAAAATTTCAGTTGGCTTAGCTCTGAAGGAGAGAAATAATAATTATGACTGTTATTGTGATTAGTTTAGCATTCTGCCTTGAGGTTTAATTAGCTGCAAAACAAAAGCTTTTGCATCTCTCTTTTCTGTTCAAAATTGATGCACCCTCCCGAAAGCAATTTGAAAAACATGGCAAAGTCTTTGGAGAAACTTGGGAAGCAAATGGCAGGTTCAGTTAGATCCCAGAGCTGTGGGGCTTTCCTGGAGTTTGCTTGTTTTAGTTTGCAGCTCCCATGTTGTTGTTAAAGTGGGATCTCCCATCAATGCCCACCACGTGGGATGGGGGAGAAGGAGCGGCAGGAGGGAATTATCCCTGTGCTGGAGGAATTGGTTGTTTGCTGCGTGGAGCAGTGAGTCAGAGCAAAACTCAGCCCCAGCTGTGTGGGAGTTCTCCTTCTCCCAGGAGGACACTGGTTTCTCTCCCTGCACGACCAACTCCTGCCTCTCCAGCAGAGTCTGAGGGGATGAACAGGTGCCTGAAGGGTCCAGGGGCCACCCAAGCCTCTCACAAGGAAAACCTTCTGCCAGCACAGCTCCAAGGTGATAACCACTAAAGGAGCCTGGTGATGGAATAACGAGCCTTTGGCTCCATTCCCTGCAATGATCCAGCAGGGCTGAGGTTTGAGCTTTCCTGCTCTTCCTTTCAGAGCAGATGTAAGACTTGCAGGGATGAGGCAGGAGACACAGAGCAGTCAAATACGACGGGGCTGCCCAAATCTGGGACACGATTATGTGATGGGATGACCTGGAATGAGGGAAACACGACCCCAGCAACCACTTCCTTTTGTCAGAGGGATTTTGAGAGTGGGTTTCAGGAGGAGGGAAAAGGACACAGGATAGAAAGCCTGAAAATTAATTTTAAAATTAATTTAAAAAAAGCAAGTCCCCTGGGAGACACTCACAGGGTTGGGTTGGGTTTTTGCTCAGCCTGCCCTTGCTGAGGCAGCTCCACGTGCTGCCCTCCCTGCCCCAGGCACAGAGCACCTTCCACCTCAGAAACAGCCCCAACACACGTGGGGAAACACAGGCAGCTGCTGATCCCAGGTGTGATTCCATCTAAATTCCACCCCTCACCAACCTGACCTACATGCCCATGACATCCAGGGTTATTTTGTCCTGCAGGTGTCCCAGCTGGAAGTGTGGGAAGTGGGGACACACGTGTCCCCTTCCCCCAGTGCAGGGACCAGCCCAGTCTCATCCCCACTGTGCAGGATGGACACGTGGAGTTTTTCCCAAAAAAAGGGAGGGGATGGCTGCAGGGACAGGGTGGGAGCAGGGCAGTGGTGTAAGTCCCACAGACAGCCCCACAGAGCAGCTCAGACAAAAACCAGGTGCAGCTACATAAAATAAGAATAGTATAGCAAAGGCAGATAAGTCAGAGCAAATCACTCCTCTCCCTCCTTCCTGGAAATCTGATATTTCTCTTCATTCTGCCTGTCCCTAATCCCCATCTCCCACGTTTGTCTCTGCTCCTCACCGAGGAGTTGGAGATTAACCATGACAAATGGACTGATTTCCTTGTCTCAGGGACTGTTTTATTTCTCCTTTGCCACATCTGACAAGTTGCATTTTACTATAAATCCCCTCAATTAGGCCCTTCAAACAGCACTGCAGCCTTTTCCCTGATCTATGGGGAAGGAATTACCTTCATGTCCCCTGTAACCAACTCCTTGACTAAAAATAGTGGGTGTTCCCTTTTGCTTTTCCCACATCCCCTCCCACTTTGGGCGCCTGAGGAGAGTGTGGCCATCACACCTGTCCCACTTGGTGGCCACGGGCAGGCTGAGATGGTGAAGGATGATCCTCAGCTCTTGGTGTGGGAATGGGGTCTCCCTTAGCAAGGTCCCTTCTGTCCCCTGGGGTGCATGAAGCCCTGAGCAGCCCCCAAAACCGGAGTGTGGAGCTGTGTCCTACACCCACGATGGTGGAAGTTGTCCCTTCCCATGGTAGAGGGTTGGAACTGGATGATCTTTAAGGTGCCTTCCAACCCAAACCATTCCATGACCCTGTGATTTACTTGGATGAATCCAGGCTGCTCAAGGGGGCAGGGGGGTGGGAGCTTTCTCAAGCCCTTTTTGGAAGGTTTTCCATTTTCCATTGGGCTTTTTGGAGTGAAAGGTAACACAGGGGTGGCTCTGGAGTTCGTCCCATCCCATCACTTGGCAGGGGAGGGGTGTTAAGAGACCTAAGGAACAAAGAGTTTCCCAAATTTACCAGAGCTTCACATATTTTCAAACTTCTTTGCCAAAGCAGCAACACAATTGATTAAACCCAGCTAATGCCTGAAGATTTTTTTTGGCTGTGCTGTTTGTTCCCTTTAATTACTGGGTGAGGAACATTTACCCTGTGGGGCCTGGGGGGGGTCAGTGGATGCCCCCACATGCTGGGGTGCAGTTCTTGTGCCTTGGTGCAGCAGATCAGGAGGGACTTTGCTCCCCCCTTGCCCTCTCCTGTGCTTCAGAGACACAAAGTGGCTCTGAGAAGATGGATGGAGGCTGTGGCCAGGAATCCATCAAGGGACACTGCCCTGCCATCGATCCGTCTGCAACCCCCCCCTGGCTGCAGCCATTCCAGAGGCACAGGCTGTGGTTGGGAGCCTCATCCAGCTCCCTGTGGATGCACCAGCATCAGGTAGAGAAACATCTTTGCCCCCCCCTTCCCCCAGGATAAGGAACAACTCAGGTTCCCCCAGGGTGGTGACCCCAAGGCGATGTGATCCATCCTCCCCTTCCCAACACACCTTGGATCTCCTGATTTCCTCCAGGAAAGAAGGAACCACAACGTGCTGTCCAGCTTTCTGCTGCCAGCTCACCTCAGAGCAGAGTGATCCACACTGCCCAGGGTGGGCACAGCAGCCACGGATGGGACAAACCCACCCAGCCCCAGTGGGTGCAGGAGGGATGCCCTGAAACTGCCCTGGCACAGGGGAGCAGGTTTAACCCAGCCATGGGGGAGCAGGTTTAACCCAGCCAGAGGTTCCTCCAGCTCAGGGATGGACCCAGTGCTGGCCATGGCATCCCCAAGGGACACGGGATGTGGGGGACCCCTCCCCAGGAGCCCAGGTTGGAGGATGCCAGGGCATGGCAGGAACTGAGACACAGAGGTGTGACAGGAAACCCTTTAAGGTCTGGGGGTTAGGCTGGGGAAGGAGGGGAAATCTCATCATCCAAGACCTCAGGAGCATCATCCAGGCTCTCCCACATCGCCCACTGCTGGTTCCCACTCTCCCCAAGACACGTGTCCCCCAAAACACCGCTCCTCTGCTCTATCAGTTCAAGCCCCCCTGCTCCCGTCCCATCGCCCCTGCCCCTCCCATCACCACCCCCGGAGACAAACCCCGCTCCCGGCAGTCCCCTCCACTTCCCTGCGGCTCAGTTCCCCCCTTTATGATCAAACGACCCCCTCCAGCCCCGCTGTGTGAAGGACCTCCATCCCACTGCCCCACACCTCCCTCCTTGTCTCAGGAGCATCTCCCTCAGACCAGGAAGGTCTGGAGCCCCTTCCACCCATTCCCGATGGGAAAGGAGCTCTTCCCTCCCTCCGTGTTCACCAGCCAAGCTGCAAAGGGGCTGCAAAGGGGCTGCAAAGGGGCTGCAAAGGGGAAGCCTCCCCTTCCCTCAATCCCTCTGCCAGAGCCCTGGAGCCGAATCCTTAAATATATAACAACCCCCCCCCTCCGCAAATTGCGGCCCCAAACAGGCAGCAGAGACCCCGCAGCGGCTGCACAAGGGGAGTGCGGAGGCAGAGAGGGGAGATCCCGTTCCAGGGGGAGCCGGGGGGGGTCCCTGGGCCGGAGGGAAGTTTCTGCTGCTAAAGATGCTGAGGGAGGGAGGGAAGGAGAAAGGGGAAAAAAAAAAAAAAAGAAAAAAATTCAAACAGACTTGGAAGGCACCAGGGAGGTGGAGGAAGGAAAAGGGGAGGAGGAAGAGGAGGAGGGAGAGAGGGGGGAGTGGGAGGCTGGCGAGGAGGGATGCAGCCCATCGCCGGGCGAGCTGCAAGGTGGGCAGCGGGAGCAGCGGCTCCGGGGAGGTTATAAAAGGCAGGAGCTGGGGCGCTGAGCGGAGGGCACTCAAAAGGGACCCTCAGCTTCCTCAGGGACCCTCCGCGCTCCTGCGCCCGAAGCCCGGAGGATTTTCCCCCCGACGGCAGAAGGAGCCCGGCGGGAGCGGGGCCGGTGCCAGCCATGCCCCGCGGAGCTGGGCACAGGGGCAGCTAAGGATGGTGCCCGGTCCACGTCCTGCCCTCCTCCTCCTCCTGCAGGTAAGGCGCTTTTAAGTTCTCTTCTCCCAGAAAGGGCCCTTCTGCCCCCTGCCCATCACCCTCCGCTCGCCTTCCCCGCAGGGACTTCTCCATCCCTTTTGAAGGAAGGGAAAAGTAAGAGGAGAAACCGCCGCACAAAGGGCGCCCCTCGGGAGAATTCCTCCGGTCGAGGCTCTGGGGGGCTCGGCAAGAGCTCGCCAATGCCCAAAACTGGCGGGGAGGGGGCTGAAGTCAGCGAAAGGGTCGTTTAAGGGGGAAAAGAATCGCAGGCAGGTCCTCCCGGAGCGCAGCTCAGCGCTCCCGCCTCGCACCTCCCAGGGAAAGCAGCTGCCACCAGGCTACTGGGAGGGGGTGATGGATGGGGACAACACAAAGGCGGGGTCTTATTGTGCCCCCCGTAACCGATTTTCTTAGGAAACCTCTCCTCTTCCCCCCCCCCCCCCAGCCGCAGAGCACAAGACTTTTCCTCTCTCGTTTGCTCGCTGTGCGAGTGCAGCCACTGCTAATTCTGCAGCTCTGCACAACATGCAAATGCTTTGTCAGGAGCGATATTCCTCCTCCTCCAGGGCTCATCAGGAAAGGAAACGCTGCCAGCCCAAAGCACGTTTAAATCCCAAACCCTGGGCAAAGGAGGTGAAGAGGTTTCCTGCAAAATCTTGAATATTATTTGAACGAACCCACAGAGGCAGCAAAAACGATCAGGTTTTTGACCAAACCTCTGTGTTAAAGGGGGTTAAAAGAGAAAACCTGCCTGGCTGGCTGCAGAATGATGTCTGAGTGGCCCAGCTGTGGCTGCAGAGTTAGAAGGGCAGGAAAAGCAGAGGGTCAGCCCTCCGTGGCTCCCACCCCTCGGGCTGTGCAGCCCGCTGGGCATCCCTGGCAGCACGAGCAGAGGGAGCATTAACTGCCCCTCTGGGACAGGAAAGTTCTCACCCGAGTGATGAGAGGAGCTGATGAGCACCAGGAGACATCCCTGCCAAGTTGGTGTTGCTTTTAAAAGCTCCTCTTCCGAGCAGCTGCTCCCTCCTGTCACTGCAACCCCCTAAGCCTGATTTATGGGAGCTCTTTTGTGCTTGTATTCCCCGGGTTGGTTTGTTTGGTTTTGTTCAGGTTTGGTTTGGTTCTGATGCAAGAAATGAAGGTGAGACAGGGCAGAATCTCTTCCCCCCCTGGTCGTTCCTGGCCAGTCTGTGGGGACAGCACAGACCTGCAGCAGGGGCAGGGTCTCATGGTGAGAGCCAAGAGAGCCTAGCAGCTCCTCACAGCCTCTGAGTGAGCAAAAAAGGGTCCTAAAATCACCCAAAGGTGCTGAGACACAGCTCCCAACCTCTGCCAAACGTCCTCAGGCTTGGGGAATTCCCTGGGCATCCCGAGGTATTCCCCAAGGATGGGCTCCTTGGGAAGATGGAGCACCAAATCCTCGAAAAGCTTCCCAAGTTTGAGACAAAACCATCCCTGTGCTGGGGCTGGGATTGGGAGGGGGTCCCAAAAACCAGCCCAAGCGAAGAGAAGCCTCTCCCAGCTGGCTCCAAAAAGAAACACCCAATCTCCAAACCCCCCCGTTTGCAAGACCAGCTGTCTGTTTTTTCCTATAAATGCAAGGCTTCAAAACTCAGACCCTATTCCAGAACAATCCCAGCCCTCTCCTGGGGGACAGTGGGGGCTAAAGGAGCTTGGAATTCCAGCCTTCAGTGAGCACAGCCCTGCAGCCAGGTGTACCTGCAGCAGCCTCCAGCCTGGGAGTGCAGAGACCTGCAGCATTCCAGCTCAGCAGAGCTCAGCAGGGACAAACCTCCCCTGCCTGGACAGATTTTGAATCCTGCTTGGCACAGTTTGGGTGTTCCCTGTTCACCTGCCCAGCAGCTCCAGTTTAGCATCAAATTGCCCACCTTGCCTGGCTGGGTGGGCATCCCTTGGGGGGCCTCAG